AAAAAAAACCTTAAGAATCTTCCTTCTCGCAAAAAAAAATCTCTCACCGTCCACCCTGCTTCTTCTTCGAATCCTTTTCTGTGATCCTTAAATCAAACCTCCTCAAGAGGGCAATGAATATTCCAGGAATAACTATATCTCCCAAGCCTAAACCAATCGAATGTGATCTTGTTTCCGAAGAATGTTCTAGGCAAACTCACCCAGCATGCTGTGCTTGGTGGCTTCTTTCCATCCGTGTCTGAGGAGATCTTGGGGAAATTGCAATAGAATGGGCGCATCGATACCCTTAGCAACAGAAGTCATCACATCCGTGGCGAAGACCCAGAAAATGTCATAGATGAAAAGACCAGCGAGAAGAAGAGATCCAGCCTGAAAATTTCGGTAGATAAAAATAAGAACCATAAATTGTAAGGTAGCAAAGTAAGACTAAACAAAAAGCGAAGCATGACAAACCTTGAAACTACTCAGATGAAGATTTTCAATACCATAGATAGAAAATGCTATACCAATGATGTTGTTTGTGATCCAGTGTCGCTGATATATGTGAGAGATACCAACTAGTAGACAGACAGCGATAGCTACTATATCATGCGTATCCACTTCAATCTTGAATGTGTATTCCTAGAAAAGACAAACACTTTCAGAAAACTGGAGTGAAAAATGACAGTGAGTACGCTAAAATCAAAAAATCATTCTGAAAACAACAAAACTGCGGCCAAGCTTCAAGAGTACCAGAGAGTAATTATGCACAATATATCCAGCATTATTTCTACTAAAAATACCCGCAGAATAGTCAATAGTTATTTGATCTTAGTGAAGTTCAGCTCGACCATTCTTCGAGCGTGATTCCTCTACTAAGCACCTCGAGCAACAGTAGAAAAAAAAACCTTTCGGAGCTCGCCTTCATAACCACAGAAAATAAAAGAAAGCAACAAAAAATAAAGGAAAGAAAACCCCCCAAACAAAGCTGCCTTCCAGAACTTGCCCTTAGTTGGGCTTATTATGAAGAAGGAGCATCAAAATTACTGTTGGTTCATGTCTCACAAGCAGACAGCGGAAATAATGTGAAGTTTATGCTGCAATCGGAAAACTTACATAATCGTCTTTCTTTGCATCTTCAATGTCTCCTTGATCCATTTCTTTTTTTCCTTGCCTAAGCGAAAGAAAATATGGTAGATTGAGACGAGGTCGACGGTTACCAATGGGAAGCCGTGAGAGAATAAACGAAAATAAGGGTTTTAGAATTGCGGCAAGGGCAACACAACCTGCAAGGTGCATTTATATAAAACCAACACTGAAAGTTTTTCATCAGATACCTTCGTAGCAAAGAAGCACTAACAAAAACTTCATGACGTGATCCTTTGTTAATGAGGGAACGTATTCTAAGTATGGCCGCATGTTCTCAGGTAGCCGTTGCTCGATTCTGAAATTGAGTAACCGTTGGAGTACTGGTAGAGCAAGAAGACTCTAAAAGATCTGCAAAGTAACTATGAAAGAAGTTTTTTCACAATTACTCCAATTGCGCGAGATACCCCAATATAATTAGAATTACTACTTAATTCACACAAATCTCTCCTCATGCCTTAAAAAAAACTTTAAGAGGCGAAAATATTTAGAAACACGGGACGATAAATCGTGTGGAAACAATGAAAAGGGAGAATTGTGTTAATTCTTGAAATTGCATCGGTTAAATAAAAATTTTGGGAAATTCTGCAGATTTACAAAGATAAGACTGCGAGACTTGATAATTTTCACCTTGAAAATAAGCTCGGGCCTTCGCTTTTAGCGAGCGTTTTATTGACCATCGCAGAATAAGTTTCAGGTAAGTAGTTGCCTCCAACTCCCATAAGCCACTCACGGCCATTCGGCCTGAAAGATGAACAGATCAATTTTTGACAAGCTTAGCTGAGATGAAAAGAAGTGGAAACAAACCCACTTGAAAAACAAATACAGCGAGAAAAGAACCGCTGAAGCAGTGAGAGGGAACTTCTTTGCTTCGGAAAGCGAGATGGACGCCTAAGTAGACCAATCCAATAAGCATGAGAAAAGTTGATAGGAATTCAAACGCTTTACCTCAAGTAGCCGTTTCTTGCTCATTTGATATTTAACAAAATTTGCGGATCGGATACCACCTACAATGATGCACAACAGGGACATTGCATACAACGAGCAAGACGCCATCGCCTGAACACCAAATATAAGCTCAAGATAGACATGACTAAATCATCCACACAGTTCAAAGGCGTCTTTCTGGATAGATTTTCAAAAAAAAAGGGAGAATGCTAAGAAACATATCAATATTCGACAACTATAATCACAACAATTGTGCCTTTTAAAGGACACTTTTTGGATAGTTCGAAGTGAAAAAAAGACAAGCGTAAATAAATACTCAACATAAAGTAATTTGTTGTTGTTTTTTAGAAAATGTGACAGATAACCGTTGATAGTTGCTATCTGGAGCTAGCAATTACTGACTAAACTCGATTTACAAATGGTTGTGAGAAATAGTGGCAGTTAATGCATAACAAAAAGGCAGTTTACATGAGCTAGTTCTCAATTTATATGAGCTAGTTCTCAATCACTATGCTGCTTCGAATTCTTACAAGCGAAAGATACTTGGTCGAAGTGGCAATTCAAGAAGCGATGCATAAGAGTAGATGCGGTTTCGAACGCTGGTCCTAAATCTACCTTTCAAATCTGCGAAGCGTTTCTTTGGAAAAGTTATGAAAGCTTTTCTGTGCGAAAATCAGCTTGTACGCTTAGTCAATTGCCCTACAACATCAAATCCGGTATGAGACAAGCAAAGGGTTGTTATAATGAAAACATGTTTTTCTCAGTGTACAGCCTTTGGGCTGCTGTTCTGGGCCCAGGTTAAAATTTTGAGCATTTTAGATCAGATCCTGTAAGCCATTCTTGATAAAGAAAAACGTTCCAAAGAAATGCTTCGTAGATATGGAAGGCAGATTTGGCATCAGCGTTTCAAATTACATTTGATGGTATATACCTCATTTCAAATCGCTACTCAACCAATCCTTCGCTTGTTAATAAGATACAAAGGGAAACGGTGGATAAAAAGCTAGTATTACCTTTCTAGATTCTATCAAATATCAATGCCTGAAATAAAGTTTCACAAAACTTATAGGTCTACCTTTCAAAAAAATGAAGCTTTCTTACTGTAAAAAAATTGCTTAAAAAAGCGATCCTAATAATTCTGATAATACTGCGCAACAACTTTATGCTTTGACAACACTTCCTCGCATAAGAAACTTCCCTTGCCTATAGATTATATGGGTCATGAGAATTGTTTCACAGTTTGCAATGACAAAAATAGGTGATGATAATCATAAGCTGTTTAAGACGTTGAATGCGCAAAAAAAATACACGTTCCTGAGTCAGACGATAGTACTTATGTTTAATTGATAAGATTTAAACATATGGAGGCGATATTTCATTCCATTTGTACCAGAATCGATGTCTCAAGGACTGACACTACTAAGAAATTTATATAATGACCATATAATGGCGAGAAAAGTTGTTTCAGCTGGCATTACATAGGTTAGCAAAAAGGGGTTAGTAACAAAAAACCAATCAAGTAATCAAAATAAGCAAAGCTTACCTGTTCCTCGAAGGTAAACGTGATATTCGAGGTTGCATTGGTGACATTCGGAGCGGCTGTCGTTTGCTCCGCCATGTTTTCCCAAATTTGGAAGATTTCTACCTGAAATTCTCCAGATTATCGCCGAAATGAACGATAGTGCAGTCAGTTAGGCAAACGAGTGACGAGCAGGCTGACCGGTGGGGAGACACGTGTAGAGCCTGTGAACCTCAGCTCCGCCCATTGACGTTATTGGCCGGCTCTGCCACGGATCCGGCTATGATTGGTGAAAGCAAAGCAACGTCTTCCTAACACGTAAAATAACCGCGCAGCTTTTGCGTACGCAAGAAATAGTGTGAATATGGAGAGATAACAGACGTGCCGGGCGAGCTGCCAGCACGACGGGCGTGTCGGAGGCGGGCACCACGCTCTTCTCCGAGCGGGTGAGCCACTTCTCGTGGTTGGGTCAGCTCTTGATCGGTCGAGCTATGCGGAGCCGCTTCATCCTCTTCACCCTCGTCATTCTCCTTGCTACCTTCGGTACGTTCTTCATCTATCATAAAAGTAGGCTATTGGGTTTCTGTGGTTGATCATTTTGCTGAACTTTGAATGCCATCAAACGCTTTTTTCTGCTGTTTTGCAACCAAATGCACTACGCTATTGTTCCCGTTGCATTGAAAAACCAAGCAGCGTAGGGCTTTCCCCTATTCAAATACATGTATAATGGGCAATGATATTCATCGTCAACCCAACGGCTGTCTTCGCAAGTCATTGTGTAAGCCATTCAAAAGGATGTTGGACGAATTGAACACGTCTACGAATAGAAATGGGAGGTTATCTTTGCTTAAATTCCCAAGGTCATGCACTGATCACATTTAACTCAGACTTTCATTAGATTTTTTAATGTGGTGTATGTGGCGCCATTTTCGCTTATCACTAAGCGCACATTTGCATTGCTATATGCATGAAGTCCTATATCGTAGCTGTGTACAGCCTTTCAATACAGAATTTACAAGCTGTTCATTATTGTTCCAAAATCATAATAACCAACTGTCTGAAGATACGAAGCTGAATACAGAAACTCTTAAGAGCTTTAACA